GTACAGAACAGATTTTCCAGTGCTTATTAAACTTTTAAAACATATTGGAACATTGTACTGCTGGATGCAAACTGAATTCCAGATATCAAGACAAAAAATGTAGAAACCCTAAAAGCCTAGTTGTATGATAAAAAATAACTAGATGGCTTTAAATCTAACTGATTCTCCAGGAAGAAACAGAATGCTAAAAATTCTTTGGTATCTTTCTAGGCATGTATTATTATTTCATATGTTTTTCCCAGAAGTGGGCCAATGAACTATGTTTGTGAGATCTGAATGTTTCCCCCCTCAAGAGTTTCATCACAACACTGTTTTATTTTTTTTCCCTTTTCTCACATTTAGACAATCTCTGGTACTGTGGTGCCAAGGAAGGTTTATTAAGAAATAATAACATTGGATTGATGGCCCTTAATGCCTTCTCTGTATTTAGATGTCAATTTCTATTTTACAGTATTATTGAAAAAAAAAACTCAAAGGACATGCTCAGGTTACTAATGGCCTAAATTGAGACAATGTAATATCATTTGATATTAATGATCATCCTTTCTGCATTGTATATGTTTTTTAAATGTCCCGAAAATTACAGAGGTAAAAGAGATATTCGTTAAATATGAAATATATACCTGTGTGTATCTCTGTAAATAGATGTACACACATATATTCATGTATACATATGTCTGTGTTTTAATAAGAAAGACTCCTTTCCATGCGCCCCTCCCCCCAATGCCCTGTTGCCTATCCTTTGTTCCCTATCAGAAAATGCATAATAAGAAGCAAATAGCTGCACGTGTGAATGCTCCCACCTTGATGGGGAGAGAGAGAGATTGGGGCTAAGGAACAGGAAAATTGTTTGGTTTGAGTAGTTGCATAAGAGACTAGAAAGAAAGTGAACATTTAATAATTCTCCAAAAGAAAGAGATCAGTCATGACACGTCTCCCCATTTATTTAAAACTTTCTCAAAACTGTTATTGGGCTGTATTCAGTGTGTAAACATGATTTTGTACCTGAAAGCTGTTCAAACGTCTCTTCCAATCATCTCTCCCTATAGTCTTAGTAAAGGTTATTGCCAAAGTTGACAACTTTATGTGTTGATATAACATGATCCCTCTAGCTTCAGGGTCAACAAACTAAATTTCAACTGTGGAAATTCCTAGTTATTTACATTTGGTATAGTTTACAAAATTAGGTAGGAAGCAATTTTATATTTTAATATCCCATTTGAAGTGCTTATGATTTATTTTAATAGATCTTATTTTACATATTGTATATTTCTCCCTATTTACTTCCTTCACCCCTTCTAACAGAATTTAGCAGAAAAAGAGGAATATAAAACAAAAATTTATTAAAACCAATCAAGACATCAAAAAAAATCTTATTTTGCATGCAATGCTCCTCCCCTGACATTGCCAGCCTCTCTTCTGTGAGGTCAAGCTTGTTATTTTTCAATTATATTTTGAATTTTGCACATTCAACTTTGTTGTGTAGCTGTTGTTGTACCATGTTTACATTTTTGTAGACATTTTGTTTTCCTTAACTCACTTTACATTATTATTTTTAAGGTGCATAGGATACATTATGCTTTGTACTACTGGATGTGTGCATTTGTATCAATATGACAAAGACCCATGCTTTTCTTGGTATAGAAATTCCCAGTAGGGAAGCTTTGGAGAGCAGACTCTGAGGCTCAAGTGTTTCCAGTATTTTGCTAATTTAAAAAGTTTCTGCAAATATGTTGAAGAAAATAACTTTCTTCACATTATTCCAAATTGCTTTCCAGTATAGTTAGAGTTCCATTCACACTACTCTGCCAACAAAGCACTGGTGTGCCATCTTCCCATAACTCCTCTAGCATTGACTACTTCTGCTCTGCTCTTTGCATATTTGCTGCTCGTGAGATAAAACTTCAGGGTGGTTCAAAGGCTTTTTCTAAATTAATTGTATTTTTTGCATTGGGTTCTCTTATAGAGAAGAGCTCTACTATACAAAAAAGAAGATGATATAAGTATTACACATGTGAACTTAAAGCATTACATCTTTTAAAATATTAACATTGTTGCTCAAAGTGTTAATAATAATGAATCTACCCCAAATACCTTACAAATGAAGAGGAAAGTGAAAATATTACACTAGAAATTCTGGTACTCTGTTTGCCTAACTTATTTCACATCAGGACATAATTAATTTGTAGTAAAGAGTACATAATAATCCATACAAATTTAGCAATGTATATGAGATGTTTACTCACCTTAAACTACCATCAGACTCATTAAAATAAAGGTAATTATTTTATTTTATCATACAGTTACTGGAATCTTTCCAGACATCATGACTGGTAATATTAGTTTAGCTAATTGCCATTCCCTTGAATAGGAAGAGATCACTTGTATATAAGGATACAGATAAAAATCTGTTCTTTTTAGCAATGGAGGCCCACCTTGATTTTAACTGGGAAATGTACTTTTTCATCATTCAGCTAATATCTGATAAAATATGAGCCAATTAGCAGAATATGAGTGGGTTGATCATTCTCTTCACCAGTTAATAATCTATTTATTCAACTAATGACTAGGGTTCTAAATAATCAAAACAAATAACCCATAATTTCTGTATTGTGTTTTTTTTAATCTCTCTCACATATTATACCCACGTTCCAGGTAAGAAACTGAGTTATGAAGAGTTTTAAGTGACTTGTACAGGGGTACAGAGCCAGCAACTAGTGGATATAAAGTCATCTCTTTTATTGTTACTGAATGATTCATGTAAAATATAATATTGAACATTAATATGATCAATTAAATAGTTTAGTGCTAATTTATTTTTATAAAAATTTCAGTATGTAAAGTATAACTTTTCATTCCCTCTAAGTCTCTGAGGATTCTTTATCCATGCAATTTAATGTAGTCATAATTGGTATACCCTGTGTTCTGATTTTTATGCTTTGCATGATTTCTCAGATCTCTTCTCAGATTTACTTATATTTCTTAGACTTTATCTAAATAGTTTTATAGTATTCTGCCAGTGCACTATGATTTATTTAAACAGTTCACTACTTTTTTTTTCAATTTCATGTGATCCTGCTATAAAAATCTTTGAATAGGTAGCTGTTTCTTTTCAATAACATTTTCAGGGTGGCTAGATGGCGCAGTGGATAGAGTGCCAGCCTTAGATTTAGGAGGACCTGAGTTCAAGTCTGGCCTCTGACGCATAACACTTACTAGCTGTGTGACCCTGGGCAAGTCACTTAAACCCATTGCTTAACCACCCCCCCGCAAAAAAGGAAAAAATAACATTTTCAGGTTATATTGTAGTCAATGAAATTGAACTAAGAGGTAAAAGGTATGACTACTTCAGTAACTTTTTCCAATGTGCTGGTATATTACCGTCCAAAAAATTTACTCAAAGTTTGCAATTCTCTTGGCCATGAATTAGTCTACATGTTTTTCCACAATTCTACCAATGAGTTCCATTGGTATTGATTATTTTTGCCAATTCGGTGGTTGTAAAATGGCAGCTCAACATGGTTTTAATTTGCATCTCATTATTAGTGAGGTTGAGTGTTTTTCAAGTGCTTATTAACAATTTATGTTCTGTCTTTAGAAAACTGTGTTTACAAGATCCGCTAACACCCAGTCCATTTCTCTTTCCACTATAACCAACTAAAAATGTTTCTATAAACCTTCTATTAATGTTAAATTTTGGATAATTAAAACTATAATATGTAAAGTAAGGGAAGCCAGGAATTCTAGATAGTCATAAAAACAAAATGATATCACATTGTGGACTTAAAATTTCTTGAGGATTTGAATGCCCAAAGAGGGTTACGACATTTGAGGAAGTGAGTGTGGTGCGCTTGAAGGAGAATCAGGAACCCAACCTAAGTGAACCAGTGGGTACCTTTTGGGGAGGAGTTGAAGATGATGTCTGATAAAGGGGATGAATCAGTTTAGAGGTGGTTGGGAATGTTGAAATGCAAAGTTAATTCTCTGTAGACAGAGCCATTCAAGAGTTTTGACCTGGGCAATGGCATGAAGGAAATGATTACATAATGCTGTGGATTATTTAATTTTTTATGGAAGAAATATTTTGAGAAGATTAAAATTTCTTTTTAAGTACCTGCTAATAATTTAAAATCATTAAACATGCCCTGAAGAACATCTTTTGTATTCCATGGGCCATGTGCTAATGTGCAGTTGCCTGAATGTTTTACTCCAGAATCTCTTAAAACATCTGTCTTTCCTTTCTTCTTCTACCATTTATGGATAGGCAAAAATAGGTGAGTTTGGTTGGAGCATGGAAGCTCTGTGTGGATTTTTAATAATTATATCGAAAGCCAACATATTGACTCTCCACGAAGAGATGCGGTGACCACACCATCTCTATGTCTCCATAAGTTAGTGGTCTATTCTCATAGTGCCTTAGTAGTTCTCCCTTATTTCTTTTGTAGGTTTTCTTTGGTTTAACAGTTATTAGATATCTTAATGCTTCACTTTCTGAAAGTGTGTTAGGAAAACATTTCAGTGAAAGCACAGTGGAATATTTTCATAGGTTGTATGCACTTTTTAAACTCAGGTGAAACTATTTCTGGGTCATTTGGCATCCAAATGTTATGCCTTTAAAGGATGCCATCCAGGCTTTTGAAATGTATTTATTCAATAATTTGTCTGCAAAACAGTTCTGATAGTTTCTAGGAGAAATCCAAGAGAGATTCATTGTATACCTAAAAAATTCCAAATTATATTTTCAATAAATTAATTGTGTTTATTGAACTAAAAACAGTAAAACACCAGGAAACATCTTAACAGTAAGAACGTTCAGTTGCAAGAATAAAGAAGATCTGATCTCATTCTAGAATCGGTACCACTGAAAATATTTTGTGGGAAATGTTTAGAAGCAGTGAAATTCAATATGTTACTATTCACATTATTTTTTAACTCTCCAAATGAAACACAAACTTAGGAAAGCTGAAAGCTTCCTACTAATAAGTCTACTGTTCTTGTAGCCTCTACTGATGACAGTGCTGCAGAGAAAAAAGATGGAGCTCTCCATGCTGGTCTAATCATCGGAATCCTGATCCTCGTCCTCATCATAGCAACAGCCATCCTGGTGACAGTCTACATGTACAACCATCCAACATCAGCAGCCAGCATATTCTTCATTGAGGTAAGTAGAGGTCCTTGAGTACAACATTAGTTCTTTGACTTAATCCCAGTGTATGATCTTGCCATCTGTTCACATGCTACTGAGCAGACGTTTTACATTTGAGAGTAGCCAGAATTCATAAGAAATGGCTGATAAGCTGCCTTCATTCACAAACTCTGTTCCCGTTATCTTGGGATGTTTTATGGACTCAAACTACCTACTTTTGTAGATCTAAAGAAAATTGGAGCCATATTTGTCTGCCCTATTGTTGAATGCATGGTAACCAGCTGTTCTCCATCTCCAAGGTGGAAATGAGTAAAAACTCCAGCATGAGGGATACAGGAAATATCAATTCACCAATATATGTTTTTTGGTTGTTTGTTTTTTGCCTTCTATGGGCAAAGCAATTATTAGGGGTTGTGTATGGAGAGTAGAGAGGGAGTATCGTGATGCAAAATCATGATCCTTTCCTTTAAGGAATATGATGTAGATAGGTAAATGAATATATTACGTATATGTATATATGTACATATATATACACACACATACAGAGAGACTATATAAATAAATTCATATGTATTAACTCTATCTGTAGCATTTATGGCATATTTGTGAACATGTTAGTTATTTTTGTGTAGATGAGTCTGTATATATATAATTAGACAGATGGTAGGTAAAATAAATATTTGTACATATGAAGACTATGTCAGCAAAGACTTCCTCAGTGCTTTACTATCTATGTTATTCATCTGGAATATATCATTATTCCATGCTTTCAAGAATCTTTATTCCTTAGCATGGGGTCTTCCTACAATAGGGCAAATCTCTACAATCATTCTATGACTTTTGAGTTCATTTGACTGATAAATTCATCATTCTATAGCCAATCTAGTGATGAGTTTCCCAAATTGGTTAGCCTGCTCCTCAGACCATCTGAATGGTATGGAAGTCTTTCCTATCATCAAGCATTTTAAGTGCCTACTATGTGCCTAGCAATGCGTAAAGAAAAATGCATTTAACTAATTTATCAAAATAAACAACAACTGTATCCAAAAATCTTAAATTTTAAGATATGTTCACATGTTTAGAATTTTTTCTTAGGAGATTGGACTCAAAAGCATCTCCTGGTCCCTTTTAATGCTTTGTTGTGTTAGACACAAGTATGGTTTTGTTGTCATGCAAATCATAACTTTAAAATACAATAATGGGCTAGCCATTAAAAAATTTATTTGTTCTGCCAATTGTGTACATGATGGTGGAAAAAGCAACTTCATAAGGACCAGAAGAAATAAATTTCATAAATCTTCCAGTTAGGTATTTTCCATAAATAGTGTTCTTAGAAAATGTGACGATAATTGGGAAATTGGTTTGGCAAGCTGTTATTCATTTTTGTTAATGTGCTTTCTTTTCATGGGTATAAGTAGACAACGTGCATGTTTACCAATGTTTTTTATGCATTCGATAAAGGGCTGATATATAAGAAGTTGAAAAGACTCAGAGATCGCCAGCTGTCTAGCTATTGGTCCTATAACCCTTTATGTCATCCAGCACTTTCTGAAACCACACTGACTGCTTCCTAACATTATGAACCAAAGGTTATATCTCACATTAACCAAGTGCAACTATTACCTGCCTGGTTTTTCAACAGTTTAATCTAGCATTGCAAGGATATTAGAAGAGTCCATATCAAGGATTGGACTACTGTGACAAATTATAACAAAAACACTTAACTCCCTTTTTTCCTCTTATTAGAATATTGACTTTTGTGTTAATGGTTAGAATTGACATTTTGCAAGAAGGTAAGGCCCCATTTACTGTAAAGCATATGATTTACCAACAGTCTTAGCCCTAGAGTAATCACAACTGTGATGAAAGCAATTGTCCTCTTCTTTCCCATTCACAAACCCCAAGGATGAAGATTTATAATAGTCGTTCAGTTACTTTAGAGTCTAATCTTTTTGGTTAGTCACATCATTGGCATTAACAGTTATTCTCACACTAAAAAATTCCCCTTGAAAAAGTTTTCACTGGTGCACAGATGGTTCATTCTATACCTGATCATGAGGTAAATTATCATACTTTTGTTGGTGATGGTCCCCAGTAGAAATCTCTAATGCAAACCAAAATCAAGCATAGCCCTTCGCTGTTGCTAGTAAGTTTGGAAATAAACATAAACCTAGGAAAATGTCTTGTCCAAGTTTGGTCCTTTACTTTAGAAAGGATGTGGAAAAATGAGAAAGTTTCCAGTAAAGAACAAGAAAAATATTAATGTAGAAAATTGGTCATATGAGTAAAAGGTTGGATAAGTTATAGTTGCTTATTATAAAAACTGTCTATAAGGTTTTTAAAAATACTCATAATTATTCCATTTTTCCTCAAAAGAACAAACAAGAAATTGAAAGAGTGTAGTTATATGAAAGTGCTTTTTGCCTCTCATAAGAGCATTTAGTTTTTTCCGTAGCATTATGATTGTTAATTTCCTTAAACCATTAGTGTGCAGAAAAAATGTATGTAAGCCAAAGAAATGTATAGCTTCTGAAATTCAGACAGTAATATTTTAACTCCTATATACACAAAAGATTTAGGTGTACAACACAATCCAGACAGCCTTCTGTCATGGTGATGAAAGTATTAATTGAATCAATAATGCATCAGTGGGGGAAAAACATAAGGAAAATGGAGCCTGTTAGGATAAGGGCAGAGCTGATGTCAAGTGGGGTATGCCAGTGATAGTCAAAATAGTATAAGTCAGAAAAATAGAAGAGTTATGATAGTGATTTCCTACTCCAAAGGAATTTTGAGAAGGATGTTTCTAAGAGGTCAAGATAATGTGGTGCCTTTGGTAAAGTACAAGGCTGTCAATGGTGACTTGGTTGGGGGGGGCAGTGTGGAGAGTTTTAGTAGGGTAAAATAAAAGTCAGATTACAGGGGATTAAGCAGATAATGGGTGATGAGAAAATGTAATCAAAACCTGTAACATTAGAGCATGTGCATTTCAGATATTTTTGGAAATAGGTACAAGGGAAAAATCAATAGAGGGGATACCTATATTCATCTCAGAAGGCAGAGGGGAAAAAATAAGTAAGATAATGATAAAAGTACATATAGGAGCAGAATCTTTCTTCAAAATTGAGGAAGGAAAGGAATCCAAGGCACTGGGGGATTGGGGTAGCATTTCGGCAAAGGAGGAGGCAAACAGTGCCAAAGAGGAGATCATGAACAGTGTTTTGGAAAACATCTAGATGAGAGCTGAATGATGATATATAGTCAGTTTAATGCCACAGAACTTGGGTGGGAAGGGACTGCAGAGGCCTTCTAATCTAACTCCTTCCTTTCCAGATGATGAAGCTAAGGCCCAGAACATGTCCAAGGTCATCTCTTGGGTTAAAAAAAAAGAATATTGTCACAGTCAGTAGGGCAAAAAGTTTCTAACATCAAGATGTCCAGTTTGCAATGAATTTCAAGTACTAGATTGGATTTTTTCTTCAGGAAAAAGGGTTATTCTTTGTTGTGTCTTTACAAACTTTGCATATATTAGCAAAGAAAATGCAGCCTATCATCCTTGACAGAAAAAAATAAAATAAAATCTTATTTACTTCCATTGAAAAGTTCACTGAAAAAGCACTTGCTCTGGAAATAGAGGGCCTGGGTTCAAATGCCCCTTAGTGGCCTCAGTTTCCTTACCTATAAAATGAGGGGATTGAACTAGAGATCCCTTTGAACTCTAGAATACTAATGAAGTGTCCATCCACAATCTATCCTTTAAAAGAAACAGAAGGAGTAGTTCTGAATTTCTTAAAATGTACATCCTGAGTTTTACAGGAAGCCTCATATTTTTGCTCCTCTCTGGTCCTCACTGCTAGAAGTTCTGATGCTTACATGCAAGACCTTACTATGTCAGCCACTGGCAGTGGTGTCCACCATTTTGGGTCATTAAAATAGACCTTTGTTTGGCCAGTTTGTCATATATGCGAAGGTTATTTCCTCTTCCTAATTGGACTAAACACAACTGTGGCTAAATAGGACCAGTGAATAATGAGCCTGAGCCAATTGTGATCCTTGAGTTTTCCTAGTGGCTGGAGACAAAGGGCACCCCGATGGAGAAACACATACCTAAATAGCTGTTGGATTGGGGTGGGGCAGGGTGGAAATGAATGATGATGAGAGCTTGGCTTCTTATTTTTTTCAGCTGTTAGATTGACTCTTCTTTTAAGGGATTATAAAGGAAGCGGCATTATGCTGCCTTTACAATAAATGTAGAAGGGTAAGTCAACAGTAGCTAAGAATCACTCCTCTTTTCCTTACTTTAAAAGCCATGTCATTCTTTTTGAAAGTTCAGGAGGAAATGAATCCTGATTTTTTTTTTATTTCTTAGGGGAAGCAAAGGAGGGCTCAGTGGTGATAAATTACTACAAGGGAGGAAAAAGATCAAGAGAACTGTAACGAGAAGGGGTCAACTTCAACCCCTTGAGCTACATTATTAGATGACAGCTTTGTAGAAATACAAATAGAAACATAGGAAAGGATTGAAATGAGATTTTTTCCAGTTCATACATGAGCTGTTTCCAATATTGTCTTACTGGAGCCTCTCTGGTTTGCTCAGGCATTTCAGTGAAAGTGACTATTATCAATCTCAATAGAGATAGATCTATATCTATCTATCCATCTGTGTGCAAAATCTCCAGAATAACAGTATTCTTATGGAGAGACTATTTATTTTAATTTAAATTACCATCATCAGAAGAATTTTCCTAATGAAATGCAACATTCTTTCTCCGATTTACTAGGAATAATCATTAGGAATAACAAGCCTTTTGCTCCACTAAGTTGTCTGCTCTATTTCCTTCCCGAGTAATCACATGAAGTTGGTTATTTTTAAATGGCTCAGAACTAGGGACTGTATGGATTAGGAGGAATAGTTTTGAGGTACAAAAAGGGGAAAACAAATGAATTATTCAATTTAATTAATAATGCCCCCCCAGTGAGGTGCTTTATGCCAGGTTGGGTAATGCCATTTTAAA